GTTATCCTAGACTCCTCTTACTCACGCCCATCCAGCTCATCACCTGCACCCCACCTAATTCTCTAAACTCATCTCCTACCATGCCCCTCCATTGCCCTGCCCTTCAGCCACCATTGACTTCCATGCTTTCACCCATGCTTCTCCTTCTTTTATTATCACCCTCCCCTCAACCTTTCTCACTCAACTCCAGGCCCAACATTTATCCCATGCATTATCTTCTTTCCAGGGTTCCTCCCATGGTGTCTAGTGCATACATACCTTTATCACATTAATAATTAGCTTACTTATCCATCACCAACACTAGGCTCTGAGATCTTTAAGGGCAATCAGACAATGGTTGACTGCATCCTGGTATCTCATACAGTATCTACCACATAGTAGGTGTTTAATATGTGTTTGATAAACAAATGTATCCTAATAACCCAAATAAGATGTCAGTCTTAAGTATATGATTTTAATTTATGATGAAAATACAGATTATCATTATAAAGATGATTACACTCTGTACAGTGCCTGGCTCGTAAATATTTAATATATGATGAAAGTTCACGGAAATGCATATTATGAAAAAACTATGCATGGATTTCAAAATTTTTGCATTAAAATAAACTCATACTAACTTGTTAAAAAATGTCTGGACAGGATGTAGTTTGAGCATGAAGAAGGAGAAGTTGTCAGTTGAAAAGAGCCCCTATTAGAGCAACATGAATTCTGCTAAAATTGAAGCAAGAACAAACATCAAATTTCTGGTGAAGCTTCATTGGAAGAATAGTGACATCACTGATGCTTTACAAAGAGTTTATGAGGACAATATCCCCACACCAAATTAGTAGCATACAAATGGGTAACTTGTTTTAAGAAGGGATGAGACAATGTTGAAGATAAAGTTTGCAGCGAAAAACTATCCACATCAATTTTCAAGGAAAAAATTCATCTGGTTTGTGCCAATACCATAGACATCCCAACTGGTTCAGCTTACACAATTCTGACTGAAAAATTAAAGTTGAGCAAATGTTCCACTCATTGGGTGCCAAAACCATTGTGCCCAGATCAGCTGCAGATAAGAACAGAGCTTTCGGTGGAAATTTTAAAAGAGTGAGATAAAGATCCTGAAGCATTTCTTCAAATAATTGTAACAGGAAATGAAACATGGCTTTAGCAGTATGATCCTGAAGACAAAGCGCAATTAAAGCGAAGGTTCCTAGGACATGGAAGTGGTCCAGTCAAAGCAAAAATGAACCAGTCAAGAGCAAAGGTCATGGCAATAGGTTTTTTGGGGGATGCTCAAGGCACTTTGGGTTGCTGGTGGGCTAAAGAACAACATCTGCTTATTATGAGGGTGTTTTGAGAAAATTAGACAAAGCTTTAACAGAAAAATGCCCAGAAAGCCTTCACCAGAAAGTCCTTCTCCTCTATGACAGTGCTCCTGCTCATCCCTCTCATCAAACATTAGGCATCCACCTTACAGTCCTGATTTGGCTCCTTATGACTTCTTCTTTTTTTTTATTTTTAATTTTTTTAAGACAGTGTCTCTCTTAGTCACCTAGGATGGAATGCAGTGGTCTTATAATAGCTCACTGCAACCTCAAAGTCCTGGGCTCAAGTGATCCTCCGGCCTCCCAAGGAGCTGGGACTACAGATGCACACTACTGAGCCTGGCTAACTTTCGTATTTTTTGTAGACACAGGCTCTTGCTCTTGCTCTTGCTCAGGCTGGTCTCAAACTTCTAGCCTCAAGCAGTCCTTCCTCCTTGGCCTCCCAAAGTGCTACGATTGCAGGCGTGAGCCACAGTGCTGGGCATCCTTATTATGAATTCTTCTCGTCTCCTAATCTTAAAAAATCTTTAAGGGTGCCCACTTTTTTTTTCAGTTAAAAATGTAAAAAAGACTTCATTGACCTGATTAAATTCCCAGGACCCTTAGTTCTTTAGGGATGGACTAAATGGCTGGTATTGTGGCACACAAAAGTGTCTTGAACTTGATGGAGGTTCTGTTGACAAATAATGTTTATATTTTTTATTTTTAATATTGTACTTCGATTTTTCCATGAACTTTTTGATGTCTCTTCATATATACTTTGCTGAATGAATAAATAAATAAATTCTGAGGGAATAGCCTTGATAATAGCAAGGAGATATTAGAACAGCATGAGATCAAGCAATGTGGGTCATTACTAGGGCAATAGAGCTCGTGATTAGTGGTGAGAGTATGACAAGATAGTAGGAAATGAGGCAAGAAGGAAGAATGAGGAAGGAGAAAGGGGGCTTTCAGTTTGGGCTCTGCTCCCCAGGCAGTGGGGAGCCCTGTAGCATTAAGTCAGAAGAGTGATTAATCAGATGTGTAATTTAGAATGATCCCTCTGCAGAATAGTGAAGGAGGAATTGGCAGGAATTGGTTGTGATGGGATGAGTGGAGGAGAAGATTTGACTTTGGAAAACCACATAGAAAGCGACTTCAGTAGCTTGAGGGTCTACAGTGTGAAGGCCTAGATGTGTTGAGTTCTAGAGACATTTTAGAAGTCTACATGGATCTTCCCAAGTTAATGATAGCAGACTTTCACCCAAAGGTTTGAACTATGAATGCCCAAGGCTTCCAGAGCCCCAGTGCTGGCACAGTAGATCAGCACATATGTGTGGCGTAGGTTAATGGTTGCCCTTACCTTCTGATATAATTAATGACTAGTTTGTCGGGTTGTCATGGCCTTCAGAAATTTCAACCAAACACATATGGCTCCCTACTTACTCTTAGGTTACAGATGTTCCTGAAAAAGCTCCAGAAACACAGCAAAGAGCACTGGCCACTTGCCCATCACTTCTATGGTCCAGAAATCAAGAGTTGCACAATGTGAAACACTGGGGTCACTTCAGGCAACCACCTGCATTTATAAAACTCTAGGACCTCTCTTCTTTCTCTTTTTGCTATCGGCTGGGTGAAAAGAAGCTTAATTCTTTGGTTGCTGGTCCAAGTATGATCCAGTTGTGAAAACTGGTTTGGACATCAGAAGGTCCAGGGCATCAGGTAGAGTGTTTTGAGATGTCTCAAAGCTGTATGTCAATGGGATTCAGCTTTTTGTTAAGGTTGTGTTAAGTTACCAAGCTTTCCCACTGAACTGATATGATTGTGGTCGTGGCTGGGCCGTGGGTCACAGGCTTGTGGCTCCCAGAAGCCTTTCTATCAGACTGGATTTCCTATGTGGTTATCATAGAATGAGCGCTGTTTGCACATGTGATACATTTTTAAAAATATTAATAGCTTTGGGTAGGCTGGTAAGTGGCTAGAAACCCTGCCACATAGGATTCACATCTGTCTCTTTCAATAATGACTTGGAATGAGGAAAGCATACTTGTGTTATAAGCTGTATTTTTAAAAATAATATATGAGAATATGCAAAATTGAATCAATTTTAATCATTTTAGGTAAAGTCAATAATAATTTGAAATGTTCTCATGTTTGCTCTTTTGTTGTTGTTGTTCCAACGTTCTCCCAACCTTCCTTGTGCAAAGCCAAGGAATCCATAGATGAATCACCATTTTCAAGCCCTGGTGCGGCTGCACCAAGTCTATGAACCAAAATATGAAGCCTCATGATCCAGGACACTTGATGAGGGTTGTTGGAAAGCATCTTTTCCCTTTACGCTTCGTTGAGGAAGAAATTGGGGTTAAGGACCTGGCCAAAGTTGCAGTTGGTGAGTGGTTTAGCTGAGACTTGAGATTATGCCCCAGATTCCAGAGCAACTCCCATTCCTTGTTGAACAATCTCTGTTTTGAACTTGAACTTGCCAAGCTGACACTCCATGCCATATGCAGAACAGTGGGTAAACACACACTCCAAAGTTAAACTGCCTGCATTCAGATCCCAGTTCTACCACTTACAAGTTTATCTCTCTTTAAAATTGTTTTTACTTAGGATGACAATAAATAGCAATTTTTTTTAAATCAAACAAACTTTGGCTCCTCTGAGGAGAGGCAATGCTCCCTCTGTCTTCCCAGCTGCATTCTATTTGCCCAGGACCTTCTTTTCCATGCTTCTGTGCTTATCGTCATCTTTAGATCTCTGTTTGGACTTAATTTCCTGTGCCAAGTCTCTTTGGGCCTTCTAAGATTGAGTTGGGATCCCCTCTTCTGTGTCCCCACGGCATCATTCACCCCATCCAGCAACTGCCACCCTGATCTTTGTTTCCATGTCTGTCTCCCCAACCAGAGCTGTGACCGCGAGGTGAGATCTCAGCTTAGCTGGGTCTTTATTATGTACTAATAGTAGTGCATAGAAGGTGCTCAAATATTCGTGAAACTAAAACATGGATAGGCGAATGAATGGACAGATAGCGAGAAGAGAAAAAGGTCAGTAGACAAAAAGTGGAGAATATTATTCTCCTACAGACTCCTGAATTCAGAGGAGGGGGATAAACGGGTGGGGTGGAATGTAGTCGGTAGCACTTAACCTAAATCATTGGGGTCTCCACTCCCAAGCAAAAGGGAGGAGTTCTCACCAGCCAAAGACTCTCGGGTCCCCTTGCTAGACCCTGCCTTCTGGAAGAAGACCCCAGGACATAGGCAAAGCGGCCAAAGGACGGTAGTTTAAACAAGAGGAGTAGAGCTACTGCCTCCTGTCCTCCTAGATCCGCACGCCCTGCCTGTCTGCAGGGCGCAGAGAAAGCGCACACCATGATAGCCCCAATTTTCCCGCTTTCAATTTCCTTCCCAGGGTTGGGAAGGTATGAAGGTATGAGTTCCATGAGGGGAGAAGCCGGTGGGCTAGTTACCGCCCTCAGAATCCCCCGACTGCGGCTGCCTTCACCTCCCCAGGGCTGCGCCCCCCTCTCGAGGGACGTGCGCTGGGCCCGGGGCCGCCGGGGCGGGGAAGGGTCGGGCTCGGGGCGGGGAGAAGCGTTTATATATTGGCGAGGGGCGTGAGAGCTGCCTCCTGCTCTCCCGCGGGACACCGAAGTCAAGAGGCTGCCTGCGCCGCCCCCGCCCGTCCCTTCCACCGTCTCCAGCAGCTGGCGGCACCGGCGCTGCGCCCCGGCGTGCGCTCTGCCTGCGCGCTGCGCGCCCCGAGGAAACCCGCCCGGGGCTTGGGAAGCGCAGGGCTGGGGGCTGCGTGTGAGTCTCCCCGAGGTAAGTTCAGGAGCTGACGTCAGCTGGGAAGGCACCAGCCAGAACTAGGTGCACAAGTGATCAGTAGTTGGATGGGAGGGACCGGCCAGAATAGAGGGGGCTGCGTGAGATGGACGCGGTGGAAGGAAAGAAGCGAATTTCAGAAGCTCAGAATCGCCTCCTTTGGTTTTTCATCTCCTCCAGACAGACGTAGCTGCCCTCATGTCTTCTTTTAGTTTTCCGTATTTGACTGTTGGAGAACCTACAGCACACTCTGTTTAACGTTCTCTGCTCGGGGGCTCTCTGTTCTCCACCGCAAACCTGGGCGCCTTGAAGGCTGAGAGGTGCCTCACCGAACACTGAGTCCCCACGCCCAGCACAGGACCTGGCGCCTGGAGGCCACACGGGACCACTCCGGGAATGAATGAACAAAAGGCTTAAACAGTGTGAGTCAGGGAAAGTCACTCTCGCCAAGCCTGGTGGTATATACTTAGCCTGTACTTTTGATCCCGTGCAAATTTATTAAATTTGTTAAACACAGTTAGGTTTTTATTGCTGTCTGAGGAGAGGGAGGAAAGCAGAGGAGAGGCACCCTTTTATCAATTCCCAGTAACATTCTGCTGTGAAGGGAACCCCAACGCCCTGGCTGAGTATCAACCGTGCAAATAATTTTGGTGAGGGGAAGAGGCAGGCTGGAAGAGGAAAAAACACTGAAACTAGGAAATGATTTTCTTTTCTTCTGCATCCTTTTGTGATAAAGATTTTTCATTCCTCTGTTTAGAAGTGCACTCTAGGGAGATACTTAGAGAAAACTTTTGCCAGTAGAGGGGGTGTATTGATAAGGGAGAGGGATATCTGTGATGGTAAAAATCACAAGACTTGAGATAGGAAGGATATTAGCAGTTTTTTGTTAAGAATTTCTATAGTTACAGAATTCAGCAATCATGTTGCTTTTAAAAAAGAAAATCTATTTGATTAGTAGTATTTTAATATAAAAATTTCAAGTGTGCCATGAAATGTTAAACTTACTTAGTGTCTTCATAAATGGGGTCACTTACATAAAAATCCTGAAACTTCTCAATAAAGTGTTTTAAAAATTCATGGCCTTAAAAGTTTTTATCATTGTAAAAGAAGTTGTCAATTCCCACCCTCTTCCCTCATTTTATTTCAAAATATTAGAAGTGCAGAGGAGAACCTGAAAAAATGACGACAAAAAAATGTTATCTTTTACTCAAAAGTAGGTGTGTTTGGATGTTGTGCCATGTAAAATCAAATTTTATGGTGTTCATAAAAGATTTTATTTTAATCACTCATTGGAGAATCATCTTTAGCTTTTTTATAAGCAACAAAATCCTTTTAATTTTGCTAAATCTTCATGTGAAACAATTCTCTAAAAATGCCGTTGTAGAGTGTAAAATACTTGCAATTCCCAGTTTTTCGATTCTTTTCAGATAGTCTGAATTTCAGGAAGTTTGAATATTTGAAATATTAATGTTGAAAAGATTTATTTATTTGCATAGACAGTACCAAGAGAAGCAAATTAAGTGATTTAATGAAGGTCAGGTTACACGAATTGTGAATAGAAATTGGTGTATGATTTATTAATCTATATAAACAGTATACTGTATAGTCCCACTAATATAATGGTCTTAAAAATGACTGAAAAGAACTCTGTCAGTAAGTATCCCCTGCCCCTGGAATTTCTCAAAAATATGGGCTTATTACCCCCTGCAAATAAATAAAAGTGGTCCGGACTAGTGAGTATGTGTTTGCAATCAAAGAATCCTCACTCCTGCATTCCTAAGAATAAATATAAATATTAGATTTTCTGTGCTTCTACTTATGCTTCTATAAGAGTCATGACTCTTCCAAGATGATCATATGTTAAGCAAAATATTTTTCTCCCTTTTTGTTTTTCTTATTATTTAAAGTAGGAGGCAGTTTAGTTTTGCTCTCAAACAGGCCTAGATGCAGGTTACAGAGGAGCTTTGCACAATGCACTTAACCTCTCTGAGTCTTATTTTTCTCACCCATTATGTGGAGCAGTGATATCTACCTGCCTAACAGGGGATGTATGTGAAAAAACAGGAAGATCTTTGTAAAATGCCAAGCACAAGTGGACAATTGTGATGGAGTGATAGTGATGGTAAAGTCTGAGGATCAGGCAATTAGAACTGTTCCCAATAATTCAGTTAATATTGTTCCCAATAATTCAGTTAATATTGAGCCCAATTTTATTCAATGTTCTGACCTCACTGAAATACCTTGTCTCCATGGAGTATAACACATGACTAACAGATGATTTGCCAAACATTGTAGTCTCCCTTTTTCCCTGGAAGTGTTCCAGTTTGTAGAGATCATTTCAGGAAAGACCTCTCACTCAGGAACGCTGCTGTTCTGGAAGGGATGTTTGGAGTTGTGGCTGTTCTGATTTTATTATTTCTTAATATCTTAGACTTAACAGTTTGGGACAACTTTTCCCAGAGAAGGCAAATTATTCCTGCAGGTAGGAGGCTTTAAACAGTGCATTCAGTGTTTTAGTTTCTTTGGATAATGGTTTTATGACAATAAAAATATCTTTCTACTTGCAACAGAAAGGTATTATATTTACATTTTCAGAATTTTAAAACACAGTCCCCCAAAGCAACCCTAAGTTGTTCAAAGGAGAGTTAAAAAGGCATAAAGGATCCTTTACAAAACAGTGGCTAATAAAAAGCCAAACTTTTTAAATGAAAATAGAGTCTTAGTCTCAGTCCCTCTTCTGGTTCCTCACTCTCCTCCCAAAACTGGTCTTTTCTTGGGGTGATCCCAATGTCCTGAAACAGGAATTTGGAAGGGATTACCACAAATAAGAATAGATACCATTAGCTACCATAAATCGTGTGCAGAAGAAAAGATCTCTTGTGTTTTTCATATCTTTAATGCTTTCCACAATACCTGGCACTTGGTAGGTACTCGATAAATAGTTGATAAATGAATGACTGTTAAAATTTCAAAAGTCTGGGTGAAGTGTGCTTCTTATGTAAAGCTGGAGCAGTTGCACTTGGAAAATCCAATAACATGTGAAATCTCAGGGAAAATCCATAACTTGAAAAATCTCAGGGCAGTATCACCTTTGTCTGAGGCTCTGCTTCCATAGTTGAGTCTTGCTGAAACAAGAAACGCTTGGTCTATCATTACTAATTCTTGCCTTTATGAACTATCTTGATTGACTAAGATAACCCTAAAAACTAATACTTTTTGCAGTTCCAAATAACAAGTCTAAGAAAATGTTCCAATTTAATTTTGGCATGATGAGAACATTTTTCCCCAAATGCTCAAATGGTAGAGCAGAGGGAAGAAAAATAGAATATATAAACTACCTTAGTCTTGTGAATGTAAACCTCAACATTCTCCTTAAGTTCTCCTTAAATAAATATACATTTAACCATTCTTTAACCATTTATAGTTAAGGATTTGGGCATTGATTTGATTCTAAAATGTTTTGTAATGCTCTTAAGTACTGTATCCTACACTTTAGAGGGGAAAGACTTTGCCAGAGTTCGTTGGCAAAGACATTTTTGTTGGCTAGAAAAACCATAAGCTAATCACTTATTGAGTCTTTTAAAAACAAGTTGATTAGCGTTTGGCAAGAAATTCTGACTGAAAGTCTCCATTATACAAGTCCAAATACAATAGAACTTTGAAGATCATAAGCAAGTTATAGTCATATTTGGCTATTACTGTTTGGTGGGAAAAAATCCCATAGTGTGTCAAACAGTCCATGCATCATGTTTTGGTACTTCTGCTCAGCCCAAGCCAGCCTGTGTGGTTAACTTTATAATCTCCACTTACTTCCACATTTTCTCTGGGACAGTTAGAACCTGTAATATGACGAAGATGATGATACAGATTGTAGCAGATTCCCTTGCTGTCCAGGCCTTTCTCTTCCCTGCTGGCTAGAAGATGATGCCAGAGCCCTGCCCACATTCCCTCTGCATTGACTTTTTCAGTGCACACTGAAGGCTTCTTACTTCAAGCACATAACTCTGCCTGAGGGCTTTCTCTGGCCTTAGGAGCATGCCTGATGCATGGGGTAGATCAAAAGGACCTGGGCGTTAACACCTAATAACAGGTGAAAGTTGCTGAGTAAATGCCCCATTTTCTCACACCTTGGGGGAAGGCAACTCTTAAGGTGTGATGCATATGTTCTCACAGAGGTGCCCAATGGAACTGAGCACTAGCTGCCCATAGTGGTAACCTACCTGCTTGTTAACATCAGCTCCCTTGCCTTCCCTGTCCTACCCCCAACTCCTCTACCAGAGTTCCCAGGAAACACCTCCCAGATAAACTAATTGCATGAATTCTTATCCAAGGTCTGCTTTTGGGGGAACATAGCCTACCATGAGTTTGTTAGCTATTTCAGTAAACACAGTATAGGTTACCCTGCAGTAAACCAAGTATAGCTTACATTTAGCTATAAGTAGGTTATAGATGCCATTCTAGCCAAAAATTAAATCAAGAATGGAATTCTTGTTTTCCACAGTACAGAATAGAATTTTTTCTCTAGCCAATGCTGTTACACTTATGTCTGGGTCAATTTGTTGGTCAAAACCTGATCTTAAATTCCCACCAGCTCTTTGGAAACTGTGGCATGGACACGGAGGCAGATATCAGTGAAGACTCAGTGTGACCCCATAGTTAGAGAAATGGCATAATGAACATATTCTGCTGGTGATGGAAAGTCTTTCAGACATGCTCAGTGAAGATGGAGCTGGCCCATCTTATTCCTGCTGCCTGTTCCTATCCCTTCCCCAGGTTTGGTCACCATTTACTTACCAGTGACTTCCTAATCCACACCTCACCAGACTTCTCCTGAGAGCTCCAGACCCAGATATCGAACTGCCTCCAAGGCACTTGAACATCTTGCACCACAACCACCCAGTCCTGAATGGTACTCATTACCTTCCCCATAAGGCTGCTCCTCTTACTGTGAAAGGCACAACCCAATGGCTCTATCTGAAAACTTTGAAGTAGCCTTG